ACCTCAGGTGCAGGCCTGCAGAAAGCACTTCTCATTACCTTCTAAGGTGGAGACTTGGAGCATGCCTGCCAGCACATGCCCACAATTCCAGCATCTGTAGGCAAGAGGATTCAAGGTTTAAGGGGTTCAATGTATTGATACACACATAATCAGGCATGAGAATAAAATGTATATAAAAAGTGAAATGTGCTTACTGGGTCACAGCAGGGGAAGGTGACCATGGCCAAAGTAGTTTGTAAAACTTTTTTTTTTTTTTTTTTTGAGACAGGGTTTCTCTGTGTATTGCTAGCTGCCCTGGAACTCTAGACCTGGCTGACCTCCACCACCTCAGAGATTCACCTGCCTCTGCCTATTGGGAAGCAGGAGTGCTGGGACTAGAGGCAAGCACCACCACCACCATCCAGCAATTTGTGAGGCTTTTAAGCAAGCCATCCACACAAAGTTCCCTCCCGAAGATCTTCAAAGCTCACAAGGAGGTCCATATACAGACAGGAATGGCAGAAGACAGGATAGCTTGCTTTCCCTGACCACTGAGCTCCTTGGATTAAATCATGCTCAGCAGATACTCAACAGAGCAGAGCTGCCTTCTGCACCCCCTGCTCAGAAGGCTAAGTCCACGTGTGGGGTTTCCACAGCACTCACAATACCCTGAGAACAGTTACTTCCCAGACTAGGAAGCTGCCATTTTTGGGTAAGGGAGGAGGGAGCAGCATGAGCGAGTCTATGTGAGTAACAGGGGCTCTGCCACAGTTTAACGGTTGGGAGAGGTTGGTGGGGGCTGACTGAGGAGACACTGAAACACCGAGGCTGCTGCCACCGCCAGCTGGTGCAAGTTTTATTGAGACAATGTACAAACAGGCCATGGAAACAAGGGTTTTGATGCTGGGACCAGTAACGTAAAATGGAATACAAAAATAAAAAGGCACTAATCTGTTAAGAAAAGACACTCAATGTATTCTAAGAATATAAGTCATTTAATACTGTTAATTTTATAGCACAAAATAAAACAAGCTATGATCCCCAAAAATAATTTTAAAAGCTTACACAGAAAATATTATTGCCTGACGCTTATGATCTTTAAGTTATACATGTCAAAAGAGTTTTATGTCGTTTTAAAACACACAGTGAAGACCGTCTAGAAGCAAGGCCACTGTTCCTCCTGTCTCAGAGAACTGTCCTCCTGCTCCTCTAGAATATACAAGCAGCTCAGTGTCCAGACTCTCAGTAGTCCCAGGGATGTGGTTCTCTGGTCCCATGGGGAGGAGTCCACAGAGAGCATTAGTCTTAGGTACTGTGTTACAACAATCAAGGTTTCACTCATTTTAAGAGGTTAATGAACATAATATTAAAGGATTAAATTATAAACACCTGGAACAAGAACACATCATCCCTTAAAAACACTCACTATTCTGAACAAAAGTTACAAGAGCAGTGGCCATCAGTCCTGGCCCATCTTGTCTGTAAACAGCTGGAGAGGAAGGCTGGCGCAGAGCCAGCGACGCGCAACTCCAAGAGAGGGTACAGAGTCTCTTCCGGTGAGCAGAGGATTCTGCATCTGGGTGACCAAAGCCAGTGCACCCTGGCAACCCAGCAACAGTGCAGAAGTGACAAGGATGCCTTCTGCAAGGGAGGTCCTGTCCAGGAAACAGGACTGCAGTCTAGTTGTCTATGCCCTGACTACCTAGTTGTTTCCTTTTCAGATACAACAGCCGTAGTGAGTGAGTTGTCAACCCAGTACTCTCTACAACACAGCAGAGCAAACCATGTAACCATGATGCTCACAGAAGGAAAGCCCAGGATCACATTCCCCTCTGAGGCCGAGGGTCTGCCCAGAGGGGCGGGACCTAGGCAAGACACACTTTCTATCAGTGCGAAAAGAAAATTTTCCCAATTAAGAGACTGATGAGCTTTTAAGTCAGGAAATTACTACTTTTGGCACATATCTTGAGAGTTCTGAACTTAAGTCTTTATTTCCAGCTTTGGATCTGAGGGAGCTGTAGAAACATTTACATGGGCCAAATTAGCTGATTTCAGAAACCAAACTCCAGGTTTATGGGACATTTTGATCCTGAATCTACATGCAGTCTTGCTGGTCAACAGACTTGAGAAGGGAAACCCTGCTCTCAGAAATGGCTGCCTGCACAAGCAAGCTGCTATAATCAAAAGGCACCAAGCCCCTTTAGTTAAATGTAGTTTCAAAAGATCTTAAGAGCTGGGTGTGGTGACTCAAACCTTTGTAATTTCAGATGGAAAATTTGAACCTAGCATGGGCAATTGATGGAGATCCCATTTCAAAATGTAAAGGAACTCAGTGGCAGAGGGTTTATCTAGCATGTATAAGGCATGAGGTTCAAGCCCCAGCAATGGGGTGTGACTCCTTGGGATTGTGTCCTCTGTGAACAAGGCATGTATCCAGTGCAGGTATCAAAAGGCATAGGGCTGAACTGGGTCACTAGCCAGAAGGCAAGTATTGTTCTAGGCAGGGTTTAGGGTTCACTTAACAGACCTGGCTAAAAACGGCAGCTTTCAGGGACAGGAAGCTGACCTCTACCACTTTTTTTCTGAAAAGCTACAAACAGGGAGACATGACACCACCCCCAAAGGACCATTTTGTCACATGAACATTCTTTAGTATGTCACTTATCAGCCTGATGGAGCACTGATTTAAAGAGAAATGGTTGGGGCTCAAGACGTGGCTCTGGCTAAGAGCACTCGCTGTTCTTACAGAGGACCCAGGCACAATTCTTAGCACCCACATAGTTTTAGTTCCAGAGGATCCCTCGCCCTCCGCCCTCTTCTGACCTCCTTAGGCACTGCACCTATGTGATGCACATTCATATATGTAGGGACCCCCCCACACTTTGGGGGGGGGCAGGGGGAGCTCCTGAAACAGTCTCTCTATATAGGCCTGGCTGTCCTGTAACACACTACATACACCAGGCTAGCCTTGAACTCTGAGGCCTGCTTGTCTCTGCCTTTCTAAATGCTGGGATTAAAGGTGTGTGCCACCATGCCCAACACACACACACACACACACACACACACACACACACACACGGCTTTAAGAGAAATAAATATAGTGGACAAATGGTTGTATTAGTTTTTGTCTCCTGAATATATTCCACTAAGAGCCTCCAGAGCCAGGTGTGTGCCAACATACACACACACACACACACACACACACACACACACACACACACCGCTTTAAGAGAAATAAATAAATATAGTGGACAAGTGGTTGTGTTAGTTTTGTCTCCTGAATATATTCCACTAGTTCTCACAGCCTAAGAGCCTCCAGAGCCAGGGCCACAGTTGCAGATGTTGTGTAAATGCTGGAGCTATTCACTAAGTCACTGCTACATTTCTGGGTCTGCTGTGTTGTGTGTGGAGGCATGTCCTCGTCAGGGTTCAGCTGAAAACGGATACTACAGAAAAGTTCTACAACTCAGGTTTGCCACGTGTGGATAAGGGATCAGACACACATTTGTACCAGCTGACTTACATACTAGGTCGTGGTATATGGGCTAAGGGTTCCAGAGCCTGCATTTTCTTTGCTCAGGAGCACTGTGTTCTGATCCACTGAGGCTGTGGAACAGAACAGACAGTACTACCACTTTCAAGCTGCCTGGACAGGCTTGGGTCTGGACAGGAAGGGCTGACAAGACTTTGTGGTGAATCCAATATTCTATAAACTTCACTGTAGTTCTTAAAGGGGTATACCCATTGAAAAGCTAGCCAGAACTAACCAAGTGCTCCACTCTTTTCTGCTCAGGCTCTTGAGATTACGGCTCACCCTGGTGCTTCCCGGCTGCACACAGCATGGCACACCATGAATGCTGTTTGTATGCACTGTTTGCCACATGGTACACAGGGCATTATGGCAACCAAAAGATAAAGGCCTCTACTTCAGGGGGTCTTTTCATATTCCTTTAGTTACATACAGCAGCTTCTGTTTGGAAGCTCAGGGACAAGTATTGTTCCTTACACTATCACAAAAATCCAACCTACTATTTAAAAATCTGTTCGGAACACACAACTCTAATGAATTAGTCTTCCAAAACCAAAACTAAACAAAAGAAAGTGGAAACAAGCCAGATTTCAGAAGTTCGGACAGAACTGTCTGGAGTTTACTTCCTCTGTCGTCCCAAGAAAAACAAGTTGTGGCAAAGCCATTGCTCTGTGGCCCAGCAACGGCAAGAGCTTGCAGAGGCTAACCCTCTCCATGTGGACACCAGCAGGCTCACACGTTCTATGACAAGCACACAGAGTCAGCCTCAAGTACAAGCAAGGCAGTGATGAGAAGGAAGACCCTTTCTGTGTTCAATTCTTTCTACCTGTGTGCTTCCACCAGTTTTCCAGTTTATAATCCAGAAGAACTCTAAAATCAGCTACTCTTTGACAGTATGACTATGATACAAATGCCAAGAGGCAGCTGCTGGAGGCATTCCAAATGTGCAGGAGACCGCCAATGTATGGAAAGCTGGCCACCAGCAGCACGGTGTGACTTGCATGTGAGAGAACGCTTCCCACTTCAAAGGAGACTATGACAGGCAGCACAAGGCAGCAGCAGGGACGGCAATAGCAATCACTCGTTGTCATCTGGGTTTTGAGGGTCAAAGATTTTAACATGTGTGAAAGGGAAAAGCCCTTTGCGCCCATTCACCTCGCCTTCCCACTGGCCATTTATATTCATCCTTGTGACTTTCACAATGTCACCAACCTGTAGGAATAGAGAAGACAAAATTAGCATCATTGTGCAAACAAGAGAAAGACAGTTTACAATAAACCACAAATGCTATCTATCCAAAGACTAAGGCTAACCTTTTTCTTCAGTGTTTGGACCTGAAAATCAAGTACTATAAAGACACAACATGCCACCAGCACACCCAGAACACCTCTCAGCTGGCAAGCATCTGTGAAGCAGCTTCTGAGCACAAAGCAGTCATCACCCCAGTGGTTACTAATAAATGAACATATATGTGCATCGAGCTGCACAGAAGGGTGGGAAGTAGCCAGGCCTGAGGCTCACAATCCTAGCATACAGAAGGCCAAGGCCCGAACAGCCTAGTCTCACTGAGATTCTGTCTCAGAAAAAGAGAGAGGGGGGGGGGAGAAAGGGAGAAAGGAAGAAACTATTGCTTTGACAGCATATATTTTTTTAAAGATTTATTTATTTTGTATGCAGTGTTCTGCCTGCATGTACACCTGCAGGCCAGAAGAGGGTACCAGATCTCATTACAGATGGCTGTGAGCCACCAAGAACTTGCCTTGCAAACATAAGGCCCTGAATTTCATCTTCAGGATACATGAAAAAAAAAAAAAAAAAAAAAAAAAAAAAAAAAAAAGTCTGGACATGGCAGCAGAGAGCTGTAACAAGAGCTGGTGGGGCAGAGAAAGGTGAATCCCTGGCAGTTTAGCCTACTCGGTGAGTTCCAGGGTCACCTAGAAACCCTAACTCAAAAGACAATGTGTACAGTGCATAAGGAACAACACCCAATGTTGACCTCTGACCTCACACACAAAAAACACAATGACAAAAACATTTATGAAGGAAGGAAGAGGAAAAGAGGGAATCTGCTCACCTCAATTAAGGAGTGGCTCTTCTGTCAGCAACATCACCTCACTCACCACGGCCCTAAGTATCCACGATGCCACCCTGAGCTGTTCCTCGACCTTCCATAAGGGCTGTCACTGGGCGGTGGGTGGATGTGGGGGACAGCGTCTTACTACATAAGTAACTGAGCTGGTCTACCCTCCAGTCCTGAGTGCTGAGCTTACAGGTGCAAATCACAACCTCAAGTTTCCTTAGTTCTGAGCTTCTGAAATCCAGACCACAAGCTAGAGATGGCTCCTCAACCAAGCCTGACGACATGAGTTCAATTCTAGGACTCATATGATTTAAGGAGACAACAGACTCCTGTATGCTGTGTTGCCTGCCACACACCACCCTGGCACATGATGCTTGTTTGCACACTCACATACACAAAATAAACAAACAAATGTAATGAAAGACAGACAAAAATAGAGTGTACAAATTCTATCCATTGTTGGAAGACAGGTACCCAGAGTTAAAGATTAGTTTGCTTATTTAAGAGAACTGAGAATTTCATTGGAAAAGAGGTCTTTGCTGGGCAGTGGTGGCGCATGCCTTTAATCTCAGCACTAGGGAGGCAGAGGCAGGGGGATCTCAGCCTGGACTACATAGTGAACAGCCCGAAAATAAATAAATAAAACAAAAGCAGTTTCAAAGCATTTTGGGGACCCAGAAAGCCATGGGAAGTACTTTCAGGGCCCAACAAGTGTCTGATCAGGATTTTCAAAATTGTATTTATATAATTATCACAAAAAGTATAACCAAAGGTGTGCTACCTTTGCCTTCACTGTTCTGACAATCTGCTTTTTATGATCTTCAGAAGGTTAGCTTAATGAGGGGAAAAAAAAAAAAAACTACCACTGCTTGCAACAGAATAAAGCTAGAAACCAACTGAACCCTGAGTTGGTACAAGACTGCATGTGTGCCCAGACTGTATGTTGTTCATGATACTCCCAACTTCTTCTGCCTATTGTAATTTTTCTATAAAAATGGGCTCCTAAAACAAAACACATTGGGTCTGGAGAAATATCTCAGCCAATAACAAAACTTGCTGATTTCCAGAGGATCCAGGTTCAATTCCTAGCACCCACATGGCAGCTTACAACTGTCCATAACTCCACTTCCAAGGGGATGCAATGCCTACCTTTGGCATCAGACATTCAAGTGGTGCACAGATATACATGCAGGCAAAACACTCATACCCATAAAATTTTAAAGATGTCTGACATGTATATATTTGTGTGTACTGTGTGCACATATGTGTATGAGTGTGCGTGGAGGGCTGATGTGTGGAAAGGGCAGTTTTCAGGAGTCAGTTCTTTCACCAAGTGGGTCCTAGGGATAACTAGGGTCTCAGGATGGGCAGCAAGCACCTTTATCCACCGAGCCATGTGGCTGACCCTTAACTAGTATTTTTCAACTTTGTCAGTAACAGGGGTGCTATAAAACTGGTAAAGGGGAGCCAGAGGTAGGAGTATATATCTTGCTGGTACAATGCTTGTCTAGCATGCCTAAGTCCCAGTGTTTGAGTCTCAGTACCACAAAGGGCAGGGGAAGAGACGACATGTAAGAAAAATGGCATTTCAAAATGGCAGCTGTTAAAAGAAACGAAGGAAAAAAAAAAAATCACACACCAAGTTACTTGTTGTGGTATGTGTGTCTATAATCCAGCACTTGGAAGCTGAAGAAAGGAGGATCAGGGAATCAAGGTTAGTCTCACCTACATAGTGAGATCAAAGTCAGTAGCCTTGACTCCATCAAGTCCTGTCTCAAAAAGTCAAAATCAACCAACCAACCAAACAACTCCCTTAAAAACAATCCATAAAAGCAAATAGGATGATGGATTAGGAAAACCTGAAAACAGTGTCTAATAAGTCATTCTAATGGATGCAGCAGGTTAAAGTAACAGGAAGACAAGAATAGAGTATGCAAGACACTGAAAAACATCCACTTTATAATTTCCACCAGGTTTCTACCCAACCAATTTAAGGCAGTTCCACATCCTTAAGCAATTTCCCTATCTTTGTTGCAGTTAGACAGCAAACATTCAGCAGTTTCGATGTGGCCAATGCTTGTTGAATATGTTAGATAACAACATAGCAACAGTTATGTACATTGCATACATAAAGTAGAGTCAATAACAGAACAAAAACAAGCCAAAGATTTCTACTAAAGGAGCGGACTATGGAGATGGCAGAGCAAGTCAGAGCCAGCCTGGGAGCAGCACCTGACTTAGTCTCTCCTTTGACTACAAACAGTACCTACTGTGTACCAAGCAAGCACTCAACCAGAGCTACAGACGCATTGCCCTTTACTGTTACTTTCTTTTATTGTTTTTCATTGTGTATGTGTGTGAGTATGTGTTCATGAATATGGGAGCCTGAGGAGTACAGGGGTGTGTCAGATGCCCCTGGAGCTGACAAGCTCCTGACATGGGTCCTCTACAAAAGCAGGCATTTACTCCACAGAAAATACAGTCAGTATGTTATGGAAAATATGCTCATTAAGAAAAGTATCAAGGGGCTAGAGAGATTAAGAGCACTGAGGTTTAGAGCACTAGTTGCTCTTCTAGAGGTCCTGAGTTCAATTCCCAGAAATCACATGGTGGCTCACAACCATCCGTAATGAGATCTGGTTCCCTTTTCTGGCCTGCAGGCACACATGCAAACAGAATACTGTAAACATAAAAAGAAAAATATCAAAACCATGAGGGGCTACCAAGATGGCTGGTGGGTAAGGTACTGGCCGTGCAAGCCTGGGAACCTGAATTCATTCTTCAGAACCCATGAAAACGAGGGAGGAGAGAACTGACACTACAAAGTTACCCCCTGACTGCTACATGTGCATGGTGGCATATATGTGCCTACCTCTCATCATTTGTGTACACCCTGCCCCCCAAACAACAACCACAATAAAGCCAGGTGTGGTGGTTCTACATGCACCACCACAGCACACAGTAGGACAAGTCAATAGGACAGCCTGGGCTATGAGTGAATATGAGACTGACTTTAAAAAAAAAAAAGTCTCAGGGCTCGACTGTCCGAAAATAACCAAATCAATTTTAGATATTCGCACCCTATTTCCATACTAAGAAAAACCATCTCCCCCTTTTGGCATATATGTCTATGTGCATGGAGGCCTGAGGCCAATCTTTGGTGTCATTCTTCAGGAGCCATCTACTTTGATTTTGGGGACAGCTGTTTCTCACTGGGACCTAGGATCACCAGTTAGGCTAGGCTAGCTGGTAGGTGAGCCCCAGGTATCCAAATATTTCCTTCTCTCTAGCAGTGTGACTACGAACGTGTACACAGTTCCTGGTTGTTCACGTGGGCTCTGAGGAACAAACCCAAGTTCTTGTGCTAGCGTAGCAAATGCTTTATGGACTGAGCTACCACCCTGGGCAAACAAAATCCTCTGGAGAATAGTTGATTCTGATTTATTAGCCAATGACAATATGATTCACTAATAGAAAATTATCAAAAAATGTGAGAAGCAGAGGCAGGCTATCCATGGCTGCATACTGAGATCCTGTTGAGACCCTGGGTGGCCAGATGGCTCAGTAGATATAGGCACCCTGTCCTACAGTTTGGGATCCATCTCCAGGACCCACACAGTAGAAAGAACACCAGCTCCCTTCAGTTGTTCTTAGGCACACACATAAAAACATATAATAAAAGGAGGCAAGCACTTTTCCCACCGAACTATTCCCTGGTTTTAGCATGGCAAGGATTTTCTAAAGACATCTTTTAGAGGACTAATGGGCATGATCCATCCCTATGATCCTAGTACCCGAGTCACTAATACAGGAGGACTGCTTATCTTGAGACCATCGTGGGCTCCAGGGTGAGAGCCTGTATTGACAGAAACATCTATTCTTTTGTCAGTCGGGGATCACAATATTTATGTAGCCCAGAGTGGCCTGGAATATATCATGTAACCCAGGCTAGCCTTGAACTTTTAATCCTCCTGCTTCAGCCTCCAGCAGATAATGACTACAGGTATACATCAGTATCCAGGGAACATTCTTGCTTCTGACATGGTGTTGTGATCATGGAAAAAGCATCTTTGCCAGTAAAGAAACAGAAAAAAAAAATTCCAAAAATTAATTGCAAGAACTGACATAACAC